CTCGGTCTGGAGTGTAGTTAGTTACCCTGAAGATCTCTGCGGCAACCATTTCGGGAGTGACTTCGATTCGTCCTTCTAGGCCGAACACGGCGACTGGAACCGTAGCAATCCGGAGGGAAACTAGATCACTTGGTGTTTCTAGTTTTGCCTCCACTTGTGCGAAGGTGCTGGAGGCCTCCAGCAGTCGGGATTTTGCATCCGGGCTTTTGGCACGGATGGCAAACCTCGTAGGAACGCGTTGCACCTGGTCGATATCAGAAGGGGTGCAATGTGTTTGTTTAGCCACGGCTTCGCGAACGCCAGCTGGAGAGAGCTGTCTCCACTCGTGGTTTGCATCTAGACGCAGGAAGAGTCGGTCATCTTTCGATGTTGTTGTTGCCGCTGCCGGCTTCTTCTCTACTTTCCTGACTGATGGGGCAGCTGCAGACGAGGTGATGTTTGCAGGAGCCTGTGCTCCTGACTTTTGGTGTCCTGCTCTGGTGACAGTGGCCCAGGTGCTTCTGGGCTGAAGAGGTGCAGTAGCCTTTGTAATATTCCGGGGAACGGCTACTGGGATGACGGTCGCAGGGGGAGTCGCGACATTTGGTCGTTGGGATAGGACTGGCGGAGCGATGTTTGGCCCGGCCGCCACGAATTGCGCGATTGCTGCCCTTAGGTAGACCTTTATGGAGTCTACAAAATTTTTGTCTTTACCAGTGGAGAGCGGTTGAAGAGCTGCCTCGACACCGCTAATAGCCGTCGAGCATATTGTGAATAGCGCGGCTTTTTTTCTTGCCCTGCGCTCCTCCGCTTCGATCGCTGCAAGCAATTCTGGAGGGTATGTATTTTTTCCGCCTGCTGCTTCTAGTGCTGGAGGCTGCGGGGCCAGTGGAGGGTTTTCGGCTCCTGCTGCCTTAGTGGATGGTATTTCAGCCCTTTTCGCGGGCCTCACTTCTGCAGGACGCGGTAGTGCTGGAACCGTGATGCGCTTCTCGGGTGCGACGACGGTTTTTCTGGGGGATCCGGTGGGATCCAAGACTTGCTCTGCGTCTTCTGGGCTGAAGGATGCCCAAACTGAATCGGCGAGGGTTTTTAACTTCTCGACTTCTGCGTCCACCATATCTACCTCGGGGACATCGTTCTCCTTCGCTTGGAGCGCAGCCGCGATGGTGTTCATATTTTGAAGATTGGACTCGAGTCCTCGCCTTGATAGCATGTTCTTTGCGTGGTTTTGAATGGCGGTATGCCATTGATAAGGTTTGTTGGCGCGATCTTTGGTGATGCCGCTGATCGTGTTTTGGTGCGTTTTACGCGTCGGAGGCATTTTAAGGTGCCGCCGATGGCAAACAATTGCGATTCGATTCGTTCCTCAGAGGGTGAGATGGATAAATGGGTGGGAATGGGCAAATTGGGGGCTTCTCGAATTGTTTTGATTAAGGGTTTGGTTGTTGAGTTTTCTATTATTTCTGTGTCAGGATACACTTTGTCAATCCTACTAGGCTCAATAATTAGTAGTCCCGATCGACTGGTGATTGGCGAATGGAGATTGCGTATGCCCTATGCTAGCGTTTTTTATTTTTGCATCAGATTTTAATTGCGTATGCAGCTATCTAGCTATGACAAAATATCAAAGAAAAGTACAGAACAGATGATTCAACGTAAGAGAAGAGCACTCATGCCTCAGATTTCATTTGCAAGTACCACTACGAAGTTATGGCGGCTTTTTCTTCACCCCAAGTCAGCCCTCATCCGTGAATACCCACCCAGGGAAACGTCTAAAAAACCCTGGGTTATCCAGACATGCCTCCATCATCCGTTCACATTTCTCCGCGCGAAATATGGCCTTAGGCGTCTCCTTCCCAAGTGGAGTAGGTACCCAGGCTACTCAGACTATACCAGAGAACACCACCAGGAGGCGGACCACGGCACCTTCCATCGTTGACTTATGTTTATAGTGTCAGCTGCACTCTCGCAAGCGAAGTCTTGGCGCACACGAAGCTTAATTCGTAAAACTCCTTGCCAAAACTCGAAATTTCACGCCCGTTGAGAATGTATCCGTCGTCTGCATCATCTTGTGAACTTGACCCGATCCCTCTCACGCCCATCCCAAAGAACTGTCTCCCAGATTTGTGCGCCACGCTTTGCTTCCTCCGTCGGGTGTAAATATCGGCGTGGGCGTGTACCTGGCGACCAGCTAAGGCCAGAGAAAGTCTACGAGAGGCGTGATCATTGTAATGAGGATGTACTTGGTCGTACTTGTAGGCTTGACGAGACTTAGGTAGGAGTCGAACTCGTTGGGAGCGAAAAAACGACGTGGAGGAGTAATTTTGATTTTTGCCTCGTGGGCCAACTTCCTTGATATTGCGACATTTGACTGAACTTGGCTCTGAGAGAATACTCCACTCCCAGGTTCGTAGAGGATTCCGCGTACGGGTGTTCAGTCTTGCCCTCCCTGTGCTAGCGTTGTTTACTGCTGTTAGTAGGGGGACTATTCTCAACACCTGTCAGTGGTGTCCCCTACGAACCTCCAGCTCTCACTATAGAGTCTGCAGAGCCGAGATTGAGTAACAAAGTCCTCACTTCGAAGAGGATTCCCAATCGCTTTCGCGGTCTGTATCGTCTTCATCTCTCAACACATCCCCCTATCACCACTATCATGAAGCTAACCACGATCAGATCATTTGGTAGGGTCGGAGCCCTACTCATCACCCACCCTTGATCATGGAGGAAAAGCCATCCGATGAGTTTCCGGAGCGTACCCAGCACCCGATACGGAGATGGTGGATTGGATCAAGTCGACCTCGACTGTTACAAAGAAGGGAGATATAGATGAATATGCGCACCTCATGTGGTCCCGGTGTCTAGGCCTCGCCTGGCTGGGGCTGCAGGTTTTTTGAGACTTTTTCCCGCGCACGCAGTTTCCATTGCTACCATTTTTATTATTTTTGGGTAGAAGGTTCCGTGGAAAAGGTGGCTGAATTCCACGGGTAAATACTGAGCTGAATGGCTATTCATCAAGGGGAACATATCAATGATCTTTCAAGTAACAAAAGAGGATAGGAGCATTGTACAAGGTGTGGCCTGGGTCAGAGAGGAGCCCAATGTGCTAGATAGTCATAGACTCAAGTAGTACAATAAAACACACACACACACACTGCTGTTAGTAGGAGATCCCGCACGGGCTATCTATTGGGATCAAATGGAGTCTGGTACCTATGTTTAGTAGAGTAGTCGAATTAACATCCTTTAATCCTTCATTATTGCATAAGCTTCCGTCTACCATTAAGTCCGCGAACTAGGTAGTGGGTTATACATTTCAATAGATCTGAGGATTTTTCATGATAGCCTTTTGCCAGTAAGCAGAAGTATAAAATATTAATATAATCTAAAAATAGTACCTTCACGCCCTGGGTCAATTATTTGTTATTGCCCTTTGTGAAGCCTTGGCGTTTCATCCTTCCACTGAACGCAAATGTATACATGATGGAAAGACACCGAAGCTCATGAGCTGCCATGACACTTAATTACTCCCTGCCAACAATTCACCAGGAAAACGTGGTCTCATAGGAACCCAATTTCGGGTGTAAAAAGTGTTCACGCGTCTAAGAATCGAGATAAACGGGATTAATGCGGATGATTAACTTCAACGGCTTCCCTTTTTTTAAGCTAGGGAGGAATTCTCGCAAGTGATGGATTAGATTAAATTTAAATGAAATCGAAAATTTCAGCCCAAGATCAGAGCCTGTCTCTTCCTGAACCAAGTTAGTGCCAATGCATTCTCTATCAATGCCGTCACTCTTTTTTTTTCAATTCATTGAAATTGACCCAATACATTTTTAAGCCTTCCTTTAAGTCATACCACTGATATAAATAAATGCATAAGCGTATGTGCGATGAACCATGAAATTTAAGAATAGAATCAATGTAGAGTGTGGTCATCGAATAGACTGCGCAGGAGGTCGTACTCAGATTTAGTTTGAGGCCTTGGGTAGATTTACATTTTTCGAGAGTGTGAAATTAAAAGGTACAATAGTCTTTGAGGCATTGTCTTCTGCAAGAGCATGAGCCTCGATATATATGAGAATAAAGTATGGCATATTTCAAATAAAATTTTTTAAATGCAACTAGAGTCTGATTAGTTAAACTATTTAGGTCTCCATAGTCTTCGAACATGTAGAGACTATATTATAAATCTGATCTAATTGTCCTCTGCAGCATCGGCTTATTTCATTTGAAGTCATGTTAAAGCCTGGCCTTGACGAATTTTCGCTATGGTTGTGGTATGTACCCTTAGCAGAACCCAACTCTTCTGGTCTGCATTTAGGTTTGTGGGAAGTTCGAGGGTCGCTTAGTGCTGTGGTAGCCCTATTTTCAAGTTAAGAAATTGACACTGTTCGCTCTTGCAATTCTATCAAGTAGTACCTGTGTTGGATGGTCAGTTGGCGGAGAATTAACGTACACCACGCACGGTGGTCGTGGGAATCATGGCGGAATTACACCAAAAGCTTTGAACCTACGGGCATGTTATACCACTTTTGAAAAACTTGCCTGCGTAACAATCTGTAGATTTTCATTAAGTAAATTACTTAATACAAATTGGTGGTTTGGTTTACATTGTCCTCCTCAAGTCAATAACCGTCCGGCACATAAGACTGTTCTGTAGCCCAGGCTACACATTTGACTCTAATCCTGCATTCTTTTGTTAAGATGTTTTTTTTGTAGATTGATAGTAACTTAGTAAACGACGGCGACATAGGTCATGCATTGTATACCATGATGCGAGTTTAACAATCCAGTTCCTTACACATTTGCCGTTTAAGCGAATTCTTCAGAGACAGAGAGGACAGGGATTAGCACCGCGCTAACATTTAGCGTCCACCCTTAAGCTATACAAATTTCGAAACGAAACATGCCCTTGAATTTGCATTGATAGACATTTCGACTCCGGTCGATTCTTGTTCAGACCAGGTGACGATCTATAACCACACGGGACTTTTATCGTTTCTCCCAAGTAGCTCGAGATGGCTGAACAACCTAGCATATCATCTATACTCGCTGCTCTAGGTAAAAGTTCTAACCAAATAATAATTACTCCGGATGACAACTAACAGAAATTAATCAGCCGCTCAAAGGCCGAATGCCACTTCTTCTAACCAAAACCAACAACCTAATTTCCAGCAAGCTCCCCCACAACCTCCCAACCAATACGGACTCCCACCTGGAGGATACTCACTTCCCCAACCAACTAGCTCTGGTAGTGTTGACTTGAGCAGTATAAAACCTGTTAACTCTGGATCTGTAAGCATAACCGATGCGATTGCAAAAGCCCGAGAAATTGCGGCGCAAAAAGGTGTCTCTTACGACAGAACGACATCTTACATTCCCCAGCAAGACATCCGAACACAGGGTGGTAGGCCTTACAGGGCATCTAGATCTCGATCCCGATCACCATCAGCTTGGAGAGATGCGTTCCGTGATAACTTCAATTCGTACCGTGACAACAGACGAAGTGATAGAGTGCCAACTGGACGTGATTTTCGCGAGCGTTCTTATTCTCCAGGCCCTAGAGGTAGGCCTCAATCAGGTGGCTTCTCGCCTGTTCACATCAATAGCTATTCCTTACGAGATAGATCCCCTGCAAGGTGTGGTGATGACAACTCTGAGTCGCTTTCAATTGAATCTAATCTTGTTGGCCTGATAATTGGTAGGTCTGGTGAGAATTTGAGACGTGTTGAGGCCGATTCTGGATCAAGAGTACAGTTTATTACAGGCCCTGAAGAGACCGGACCATATAGACAGTGCAAAATTTCTGGTTCCAGGGCAAGTCGTATGAAAGCTAAGGCGGAAATAAATCGCATAATTGATGATAGTGGAATGGCAGCAAACGCTCGTGCTGCCGCCGAGCGAATGAAAGAAGTACCATCCGGTCGTGCCTTTTCACATCAGCCTGCACTACGTGATGGTGAAGACAGTATGCAGATAATGGTTCCTGACAAAACTGTCGGACTAATTATAGGTCGGGGTGGTGAAACTATTAGAGATTTACAAGAACGAAGCGGCTGCCATGTTAATATTGTTGGTGAACAAAAGAGTGTAAATGGTCTACGACCCGTGAACTTAATTGGGTCCCGAGAAGCTGCAGCGCGTGCTAAAGACTTGATCATGGAGATTGTTGAAAGTGACAGCAAAACCGCTACAGGTAAGGATCGAAATTCCAGTCAGAGAGAAATTCCCAGAGACTCTGGAATGGCAAGTAATGGCAATGGATTAAATGTCTCCGGAGGTGAAAAAACTAGTGATTCTATATTCGTTCCATCCGAAGCAGTTGGAATGATCATTGGGAAGGGAGGAGAAACCATTAAAGACATACAGACCAGTACCGCATGCAAAATCAACGTATCTCCCCAGTCTGGACCTGGAGAAGTGGAGCGTGAGATTGGTCTTGTTGGTACCCGTGACTCCATAAACGCAGCCAAACGAGCCATTGAAGAGAAAGTTGAGGCGGTGGTGAGAGCTTATCCTGAGAGCAAAAATTCGAGCTTATTGATAATAGGCAATGAAGAATGGCGGTGGCCGTACACGAAACGCTTCGCAAAATGAATTTAGTGATAGAGGAGCTGCCTCCTTTGTCCAGACGTCACCTTCGTCATCATATGCTCAGATACAACAGGCACAGCCGCCGAACGCAATACAACCCACATCGTCATCTGGTTCCGAAGACCCATACGCAGCTTGTAAGGCTCATATCACAACTGGTGTATCTTCAAACCCCATACTGACATAATCTAGACGGAGGATATCAAAACTATGTCGCGCTCTGGTATCAAGCGATAGCCCAACAACAACAAGGTGGTGTTCAGCCCCAAAGAGACCTAAGCAAACCGCCCGGAACCTCGTAATCAATAAGCGTTCATCATTCCTTTGACCCTCTCCTGGATACCCGACATCATGTCTATTGTTGACTGCTTGATATGCACACCTCTTCAATCCTACTGAGACCATGACTGACTCACTATCGACCGATATGACATGCATGCGTGCACATAGATGATGATAATTTTTACTCATAAAGTCTAGTCTTGCCTGGTTTTATCCAATGAACTTCCTCGCTCGCTCGCTTGTTTCCTTTAGCAAAGATTTCCTGGACTATGACTTACTCAACACTAAAGTTTGATGATAATCATGCCAAGTGCTACAGCTCTTACCTACTGGAAATTCTTAGAGCATTGACTTCATTATATTACCGATCTAACCTTGACTAATTTGATACTACTTTTACGGCTACGACATAAGTCGCATGATGGTAAAATTATGGACTTTATCCTTGAATCGTACATCGAACTTATCTGTACTCGCGTCATCGGCCAAGTAACTGAACCACATGGATTAACTATTTGTCGTTAATAGTGCTTATCGTGGTTGTTCACAACTTTGTGTGCTGTGCTTGTATGACTCAAATGCCGTCTATCCCTGCATTGAATTCCACAACGCCGTTAACATCTAGAGTAATCTTTCCATAACACTATCATTATAAGGAATTCTCGGTAAGTATAAAGGAATATGGGCAGGATTGTTTCATGTATAATTAGTCGCTGGAGTGAAATTGAAAATGATCACCGTGCACAGAAAAGTACATGTGTGAATACTCAAACCTATTAAGTTCTTCTCTTGCCATCGAGCCTTGGTGGGCTTTCAAGTCACATGTTGGTGGAGCTCCTCTTTCTAATATTTCCAATTCTAATTAATGTGATTCTCAACTATTACAATAACCGAGATAGAGGGATGGAGAATGCACAACAGTCGGCGATGTTCTTCACAAACTTCTAGCTTTATTTGGGGATCTGCAGAGCCACGATTTAGCCCCATGTTAATCAGGAGTGCTTCTAGTGCCATCGACATTGTGTAAATTCTCCATCGCAGAGAAAGCACAAAAAATGTAGGCTAACTATATCAAAGCGCATGCTCCTGAAACTTTTCTGGCATTTAAACATGGCGTCTGGTTTTTCCTCAAGGGCTAATGATTGAATGAGTTAAGGGGTGCAGAGAACACTCGACTAAGGTATACAAAAACCTTGAGCGCTCAGCTAGCTTACCTCTTCGTCCACTTCTGATTGTTGGCTATATTTTTAGATGTAGTCCTTTTATCAATGTCAGGGGAACCGCGTGTCTAGAAGTTCCGATAAGTTTTGCCGCTAGCAATACATGCGCAAATGGCCGGCCTTTCAAAATGGGAACATTATAACTGTTTTTGGAAGATAAAATATATGCTTGAATTTTGAGGACTTGGATTATGTTAAAAGATTTGTCATGGCTAGAAAGCTGGATTCGCCACGAGTTAAAAAATAACCGTATATTGTGGCAGTGAGCACTACTTTTGATTTAATGCATTTAGTGTGTATGCAGCTATCTAGTTGTGACACAAGAACGGTGTCTTGTATACATATTGGATGACTCACTTGACGTTAGAGACACTAAAACTCTGGATTTCATTCGCAAACACTACCTTGAAGTATGCTTCCTCACACAAACAGTCGTCCCTCCTTCGTAAGTACCCACCAAAGGGAAGTTCAAAATCCTTGATTATTCAAATATGTCTTCGTCATCCATGCAAACCATCACCGTGGGGAAGTGGTTGTGTTGTGCTGAATTCGAACCAGTGATCTCGTCTCCCAAGTGGGATATGAGTCCATGTTTTCCAGACTTTACTTGGCAGACTGGCAAATGATGTACCACTGCACCATCCAACCATTGCGGTGTTACAGGTGTCGCCTACTCTTTTATTAACTAGGCTATATGGGAGCAGGATGATGGATACTCTTGGGGAAATTATGCTCACAGTAGGTCTCTATAGTCGCTGTCGCGTGTGTTCTCGTGATATGTAAGACTTGACTCTATATTCTCGTATAAAGGAAACCTAGTTACAACAAATGGATGGAGGTTGAGACCTCCTTATATCTTGCTCCAGACTTACTGTGTTGTTCACAGCCTAGTGCTAGAACATTCCCTTGTGATATCATTTCTCTCCTAAGAGAAATGACCAGCTCGTTCTCTCTCAGTCTATCAGTCTCTCGCTGATTCCATTATCTCTATTCCATCGAGTTCTAGTTTGGTCCAGTATACCCACACATGCATTACACACTAAACACCCCACGGTTTAGTTCCACAGTCACGTGCATATGCTATGACGCAACCTAAAGCATGTACCATGGTAAGTTACACGGATAACACAACACCTACACTCTCGCAAACGAAGCCTTGGTACGCACAAAGCTCAATTCGTAGAAACTACTTGCCGGATTTCGGAATTTTATGCCCGTCTAGAAAATATCCGTCCTCTGCATCATCTTGTGAACTTGACCCCATCCCTCTCACGTTCATCCCAAAGACCTGTCTCCCAGATTTGTGCGCCACGCTTTGCTTCCTCCTGCGGGTGTAAATATCGGCGTAGGCGTATATTTGGTGACCAGCTGAGGCCAGAGAAAGTCGACGAGAGGTGTGATCATTGGAATGAGGATGTACTTGGTCGTACTTGTAGGCTTGACGAGACTTAGGTAGGAGTCGAACTCGTTGGGAGCGAAAAAACGACGTGGAGGAGTAATTTTGATTTTTGCCTCGTGGGCCAACTTCCTTGATATTGCGACATTTGACTGAACTTGGCTCTGAGAGAATACTCCAATCCCAGGTTCGTAGAGGATTCCGCGTACGGGTGTTCAGTCTTACACTCCTAGTGCCCTACACTAGGATTCAATCTTTTTGGGAATGAAAAATTGATGTGGTGGAGTATTTTGAATCATTGCCTCGTAGGCCAACTTGTTCGGTATTGCGAAATTTGACTGAACTTGGCTCAGGGAGAATATTTCACTCCCAGGTTCGTAGAGGATACCGCGTACAGGTGTTCAGTCTTGCCCTCCTAGGAATCTATTTCGCGGTGTCTCATGTACTCATCACGTCGATGTCGGCATTTTAATACCGAATGAAGTAATCGCTCGTAATTTTTCTAATGACTGCTCTCAGGATTCGTCGAATTTTAGGTGTGCCTGTGGATCCAAGGCTATGAAGATGTTGGCATGGAGCGAATTGATTTAGACTATTTCAGACTAAAAGTAGATAAAATATAGTTGTTCTTGTGCTTGGGTAAACAGTGTGGCTCCAGTTTGCTAGTTGCGATATACTGAGTACAGGAGGATTGATACAAGGATACATTAATTAGGTGTTGCACCGAGGAATTCGTGGGTTAAATATGAGGGTTTATCTAAAGCTTGATAAGGGGTTTGTTGGTTTCGTTTTACAAGCTAAATTTTGTGTCGAATTGCTCCAACATTTTGTGGTCGTCTCATACAATTACGACATCGACTTCCAGCCTATCCCTGCAATGCCACGTTAACTTCTGCCCAAAGCTTCCACTGCTAGAATCTATCACTATAATCTAAATTTATCATCTGGCTCAGCTGCTATTAACACCATTGAGTCTGAATTCGATTCTGTTTACGAACGTTGTCCTATTGAGATGGCCATTCAGTGAGCCTAGCTTCTTCTAGGGCGTTGAAGACTACTTACTTATTGATATTCTAGTTACCTCATACTACTTTCGCGGCAGGGAAAAGTTGTAGGTTCACAATGCGCATTCACATCCGTACGCTCTAACAAGTATATCTACAGAGACTAGCAAAGTGGTTCACAACTCTATCACCCAAAGATAAGGCAAAAATAATAAAAGATGTTTCTCAGCTAGTCCTCGCACGCCGTACCCGGATGTGCAATTTCCTTGAATATAGGGGTTAAACTCCTGAACTCAGCACTGCGGTCTGATTCTAACACTTGATAGATTCAAAAATTGTTTATCGTCGCTATGCATCACTTTTCTTTATCGCAGGCTGTGCTTCTACGGACAACGAGCTTATCACGCTTGAAATAGTTCACAGATATGTAGAGCAAATGGATAAATATTACGGAAATGTCTGCGAGGTAACTCAACACTGCACCATGCTTCTTCAAGTTGATTCTAACAGATCAGTAGCTTGATATAGTGAGACACTCTAGATTTCGCCCGAGTTATACACTAACACCAACCTGATCTTTAACTTTCAAAAAGCATACTTTATACTCGACGAGCTCCTATTAGCTGGAGAGCTACAGGAGAGTAGTAAGAAAAACGTTTTACGAGTAATTTCAGCGCAAGATGCTATTGAAGACACTGAGGTGAGTTTCACACATATTACCCTGACCATAGCCTTAAATACTTTTTTCTTCTGATTGCATGGCATTTTATGCTCTCAGGCACTAACACGATTTCCTCCTCACCAGGTTGATGATGAAGTTACGAGGATCATGTAATTTATAGCTTGGATACAGATCAGAGATGAGGGAATAGCGTCTATACGCAAAGGATTGCATCTTGCGATCAAAGAACCTACTTATACTCGTTCACTAATACCTGACGGTCGTTCTTTTAGGATGACGATAGATTCGTACAAGGATTGCGAGATACTGGCATCCTTTAATCGCAATAACGAATCGCCGGCCTCTAATGATTCAAAGTCAAATATGACCCGACTCTATAAACTCATGACATATAAATATCGGTCCTCAGATATGACAAGGTTAACTTTATTTCTTGATGATTGTGGAGCCGAGCAAACTATTTTATGGGTTTCTTATTTGATGAGAAGATTGTTAGGATTATATTCCTGCCTAGCGCCCTACAGGCACGGAACTGAAAGAATCATCGACATTAGCCTTACTTGCAAGTCTAAATTTTTGCTCTATGAACCAATAATGTATCCAGCCGTGTCGGGAAGTTTTACTGCGTAAAAAAGCGTAAAACGCTTGAAAGGTTAATACCGGGATGTGGGCAATATCAATTTCATTTGGTATTCTACACTCCGCTCTCACGAGAAACCATTCAAACATGATTACAGCTAAGGGTGTAAAATAAGTCACTGACAAAACTTGACAGAAACCTGAATGGGCTATTTTTATAAAATCTCAGCGGCACCTGAACATTATTTAGCCAATCCTTGAATATGTCCTACATTCAGTTCACAATCTTGCTCTTGATAATGCGCCTGGTCGGTAGTGAAACCATGTACTTCATGCAGCTACAAAGCTAGTATGTTCAGTCGAATGTGTCTTGTAGTATGAATTGAATACAAAGTATGAAGACCAATTGCGCGCCCCCAGAAGTAGGGTATGTCTATTTTCAACCATGTCGATCATAAACTTTTCTACGCAAATCCGGACGTGTGGTAGTCAGCTGCCCGTGAGCTGGATGTTTTATGCAGTAAGATGTACCAATGCCCGTGCACAGGTTTGTATCCCTGCCGCAAGATGCAACCGCAGCGTCAGCCGTACTACGTCCGCAATGCATCCAAAGATTGTGAAGCTGATACGGTATACGTTCTCTAAAACGGAAATACTGCAACATAGTCACATTTCCCATTGGTGAGAGTTCGATAGCCTTCTGTCTGTGTTTGGCACTGCTACATCGGCTTCCCTGCAATGGTGGCTCGAAGAAGATTAATTCCTAATCACACGGATGACGCAATTCATTGAGTAGTGTAGGACTTAAACTCAGTGGATTCTTCGGTACTTGTCAGAGCTCCTCCGAGAGAACCACCACCTCTATTCACAAGCTTCGATTTCCAAATCCCATCCAAAAGCTGTTGCGTCATTACCATTTACCAAATACATACATAAAACTGACGTCTTGATCATATGAATCAAGTACAATGAAGTTTATTCCTCTCTTTGACGAGGTGACAAGTGCACTCAATTTTTCTTCTCCTGCCTGCCATGTCATCGGAGGGTGCGATCTCTATACAACTAAAGCTGCTGGCTCTGACAAAAAGCTCTATCGAAATATCCAGAACTATCTCGAATCTCAACATAGAAATACTCGCAAATTATCAACCTCGACCTCAGCTCCCGAACTTGACCTTTCATATCATCTCCTGCAACCTCGACCTAGTCCATTCGGCTCACTTAGCCAAGTGTCAAGTCGCCGTATTTTTGCTTACCTTATTGCCACCCTCAACGCCAGCCATCCAGATTACGATTTTTCCCACGTACTTCGGCCCGCAGACTTTTGTAAAGAAAAAAGTATAGAGGCTGTAATAAGCACCATAGATTCAACCCTTAATAACTTAAAACCCCATTCAGGCGGTACTGCGAAAGCTTTTCCCAAGACATCCTACACCGCTACTTCGCTGCCAAATTCTCATACGTGGGGACCACAAATGTGGTCCATTATTGATAAGGAGATGGTACTTCGGGATTGCTCCGTTTACTGTTGGGCGCCACGCGATGAGCCGTTTGACGGCGATGAAGGCTCTATATGGAGTTTGAACTACTTCTTCTTCAATAAAGAGCTTAAACGTGTTGCTTACATACACGTGAGAGCTATCCCAGCAACAACACCTTGTGGAAACAAGTACGGTGGGGAGTTCAAAAGGTGTATAAATGATGACGAAACTGGTGCAATGAAACGAGCTAGATACTGGCTTGGCAATCGAGCTGCTGACATAACTAATTTCGAAGGCGTAGACCAAGATCATTATGATGAGAATTTGCGGTGCAGCGATGATGATTGTGATACCGAGAGCTTCGTTATTTCCGTTAACAGTCATAATAGCTGTGGTGAAGATACTTCAGTAGGGTACCAAGAATGCGGGCAGAAATTTCACCATGTAGGCAATAAAAGAAGGTGCATTAATACAGGTGACTAGATCAAGAGTATTAGCATTCAGCCTGGATACGTCTGATATTGTCCCAACCATGACATACATTGGCAGCAGTATTGAAGATTCCAAGCTCTATTACTAGTAGCTGTGGTCATACAGGCAATAGTATAAGATGGAATAGACGCGCTTCGAGACAAAGTCTAGCGCTTATGATTTTTTGGCGTGTATTTGTAGTTTATTTTGATTAAATCGTATTTATAGCTAATAGTAGCCGAAACGCCCCGATTCCTTGCATCCGGGTCCGTTGTAGTAACTGTAATTAATCTAGACTCTACATCTCCCTTAGCGCTTTTATAGACTCTAAATTAAGGGCGAACGAGTCGTATTTGATTTTCCGATGACTGACTTTGCGATGTGTCAGTTATTCTGCAGCTTGGCTCAGCAAGTCATTCGGCGAGGCTTTAGCTCAAAGGAGGCAGAGGCTACCGCGGGAAGCTAGCGAAATTTGGCGACAACATGAACTGTAGAATCATGAAGACTACGCATAATCAGTTACGTTTGAGGGTTGAATGCTTCGAAGAGGTGCTAAGTCTTAAACAATAACACTGTAGTGCGCGCAGATGCTAGATCAGGGCGATGGTTGGACACTTGCGCAGTCCGTGGATGAGCAATTATGGACAGGCGCCCCATCAGAGTCAGCCAACGATAGTCGTGAAGAGAGGTGTAGCTTCTTATCAAAGAGGGATACGAGTCGGTCAGAGTACTCGTCAAGTAGGCCAGCTAGAACCTTTTCACTGATTGTCTGTGACTTCTGGCTTTTCTCACCGAGTGCTACAGCCGTCAGACGCAACTCATGGTCTAGCTCCTTGATTGCAGAGTCCTTGAGCGACTCGGAAGAAAGTAATTTCTTTCGATATGTTCGAAGTATACGACATGCCTGTTCTGTGGCCATATTCAGCGTACAATACTCGTTGAAAAGAGGAGTGCTCTTGGTCTTAGTTTTGCTTTTAGAGTAGGTCGCGAAGGATGGGCGTCTTGCATCGCTATTAACTGGCCTTGTTGAGGGAGGGCTTTGTGAACGCGGTCGAGTGATAGATCGGCGCGTTGACACATCATCAGGTGCTGTAGGGGATAGTTTTGTAGACCCAAGGGACGACATAGACGGAGGGGCCTGAGTAGATGATAGTTTATACTTTGATATTTTTCTCCGTATTCTTGGCGATAATTCATTCTCTTCAGATATTGCTGCCGGAGACATTCTTTGAAATTCAGCTAGATCAGCTCTAGATATGACACGTCTTAATGGTGCTCGAAAGGATGGAGTTTCTTTAGGAGGTGAAACATCATTAATGCATGGGCTGGCCTCTGAGTTATCTGGAGAGTTTTTCAACCTTGAAGATAGAGACCATATCATGATAGTCCCATCGGATCCTGTGCTGATAATGGTCTTTAAGTTTGTGTCAGGATCATTAAAAAAAGCTACATCAGTGATGTTGGTAGTATGTCCCCACTCTCTATCAAGGAACATGCCGGAGTTGATATCATAGACTCGAATGGACTTATCCATACTAGAAACCCCAGCAAGAATAGCAGAAGATCCTAAGCTTGGTTGAAAGGCACCCAATGCAAGGGAATCCAGTGCAACAGCTTCGCTACCATCACTATCAGAGGCTTTAAATGACATAACCAGACGCCCAGTTAGCATTTCATATGTTGCGATAGTCCTATCCAGTAATGAGATAATTATGTAAAGACCATTGTCGGCAAAATACGGCTCGATAAAGACTGGTGATGCCTTTACGGTGATAATGCGAAGAGGTAGAACAACCATAATTTCTTGCCTGTCAACTACTTTCCTAGAAATTTGACGGATATGAACAGTTCGGTCGGTCGAGGAAGACACAAGTTTATCTCCCTCCACAAAAAAAAGATTTGTTACGCCAGCTGTATGGTCATTAAGAGTCTGGACAAGTGTCCATTTCAACAAGCTAAGTTGGAATATTTGTACCATGTGGTCACGGCCACATGTTGCAAGTAAGGTAAGGTCGGTAGATTCGTGTAGTGCAATCCCATTAATATCTGACGAGTGGGCTCTTGTTTCAAACAAATATTCTTGATCAATTAGATTGACAACTCTCAATACTCCATATCGATCCCCGTAGACTAGAAACTCTGCTTTGTTAGATGCACGAACAACAGTACACTGATTAGTTAAGTCGTCATCAGCAGAAGCGAGTTGCTCTAGTTTGACTTTTATTGTACTTTTAATCATACCATCAATATCCCAAAATACAATTGTACCATCAGCCGACCAGGTTAGGAACTTGACCTTCTGTTCGCTCTCAGATATAAGGCTAACACCCAGAACAGCGTCGCTGTGAGCGGCCAAAGGAGTCCGTATACGTTTAAAGTCGACAGACGAAGAATCAAGACGAGAAATCTCAATTGAGTGGTTTGAGTCAATACTAACAAGGTTTCGTCCCGCATATCCCATGGCACAAATGTGTCCGGAATCACATGTAGATGCCTCCTCTGCAGGTTGAGGAGAGATGGTAGATATCGTCTGAGAGATCAATGAGTCAACGCTTATCGACTTTCTCCTCCCATTCTTCCCTCCAATTCTAATTTGTCGAGCCTCAAGATCGAATGCTATACAAGTAATGGAGAAGTGTACATTCACAAGCCTCACAAGTTTAGGGCCCTCGCTATCGTCCATGAGGCAAATATCACCTTTCTCAGAACAAACAAATGCCTGATGGTCAGATATCGCAACGATAGCCGTAAAGGTAGCCTCTACTAAAGGGCCAAGGAGTACGTTGCGTCCAATTAAAGTGGAAGGCAGACTTTGCGTTTGATTGGGAGTTGATACACATTCTGCTTGATTTTTCTGCTTGGCTGGTGATAAATTTCGGCGAGCGTCAACAACTCTCCATATCTTGATGTGCCGAGTTCCAACAGTAACGACACTATTTTCTCCTAACCATATCATTTGTTTAACTGCACTCGTGCATTTATTGCTAGAATGAAGTTTCGCTGCTCCAGTTCTGGAATTAATTCTCCAGATGTAGATGAACCCATCATTTGTATTTCCCAAACTTGCCAAGTAGCTAGAGTCTGGGCTGAAGACGACTGCACGTACGCCATAGGTGTGCTCGTTGATTATAGTGAGGGGGTAATCGGAGGAACTTTCCTGTAATGAAAAGATTAAAACGCGTGGGGCATAGCCAGTCTATGATTATGTCAGATTGAGCTTCTAAGCGCTATTGAGTTATTTATACTTCACCAACCGCCAAGAATCGACTGTCCCTACTGATAGACAGACTTGTCGCGGCCTTTATCCTTTCTCGACTTGACCAGGTCTTTGAGCTAGTAGTTTCGAGCCATTCAGATGCATCATACGAGCTGTACTGCGGGTTTGGAAGTGAAAGATCTCGATTGCCTCCAACCGTTCTACTCTTTCCATCATGAGCCCCGGTCGTAGTGGAGACAAGCGAACAGGCGGTGGAATTAAACGCGACAGCTGTTGGCCGTGCCCTGAAGAACCTTTGCACATATTCAGCGTCATTTGCGTTCACCACGACTGCTGCTGCTCCAGCAGTGTAAGCATAAATACTTGAGGATTCCGATGCATCAAAAGCATTGGGGGAAGACACAGTTGTTCCGATTATTCTCTTTAAAGACAGGCTCATCTCGGAAAGCCCTCGTGGTTTGTTAGGTGAGCGAAGTGCTCGGGAATTTTGAGAATTGGACGGTGTTACTCTCAGCAGGTTGGTGCTTGTACGGCTTGAAGGAGTAGTGTAAGACATATTCTGCCATGAATTGGGTAAAGATAAATCTATTATTTGTGGCTGCAAGCGTATATTTAGTAGGCCAGTATAGTTTGGAGAGAGTATGAGCCAATGATGCAGCACTCAGATTTGTTAGATCCTGCACCCGGGCCTTGACCGCGTCGCCAGATTAGTGGTAATCAAGAGGCGAGATGTGTAGATGCAGTGTCTAGCCTGCGAAATTATCACTTCGAACGATTCTTTGAGGTCGCCGAAATTAGAACTGCTGTTTTTGTGAAGATTTTCGTCTCCATGCCGGCGTAGAATTTAGCAACGACTTAATCAAGATCACTAGCGTTTACAATGGCTGGGAATACATGGGAGTTTCTTTTTCCGCCCGATAGTGGCGGTCAAAGAGCCACAAAATTTGGCCCAAAGGTATTGTCAGCGGCAGGGATTAATGATCCTGACTATCTTTCACAAAAGGCTTCATAGGGCTGGTTTTGCCTAGCAGAATTATTCCACGGTTGCATAGATTGATTTTGCAAGTGCAAACACCTCAATTGACATACTTCTACAAATACTATACAAAAAATATATGATGTGGATTGCTAACAGTTAGTTTCAGAAATATCGGATGCACTAGGTAGAGGATTGGGCGCTGGATTTGTCAAATTTTATTTATTTATTTTTAACTGGGCAACTTTCATGCGACATATCATACAGCCCGAACTATTTCACAAATTGAGAACCGTCCGAAAAACTCTACCGAAATCGCAGCTGATAGTTAGTTTAAACATCTAATGGTCAGCAATTATACTTTTTTGCTTTACTGAAGCATAGTTATAAAATACCACCTTCACTTGAGTCAAAGCCTGGCTCTGAATTCTTGGGAGCTCTACTTCGTGTAGCAGTCGTTATAAGCTCTGGTAGAGGATCTGGCTGATAGCGATTCAACGGTGGTTTCTCACCAATCCCTTGACGCCTGTACTTCGATGGCGGAGTAGCTCCGAGCTCAGCCCAACGAGACCAAACTTGTTTACCCCGACGAAACCATCTTGCCTCTCGGTCCATGGCTTCATCAATATTAGGTCTCCACTTTGATTTGAGAATACGTCGGATGGCTTCTGGGGAAACTTTGAATTCATTCGCAAGTACAGCAGTTGTGAAACGTTCTGAGGCGCTAGTTAATTTTAAGATCTAAACTTTTGAATAATCAGAAACCCACCTGGCATTTGAGCATGAAGAGCTCTAATCCCTTCAATCGCATCTGGTGAAAGTCTCTTGAGCGGTTGATATCCATCTGGGTATTTCTGCTTGATTCTCTCCTTTTCTTTCATCCATGGCTCACGGGGTAGCGACGTCCATTCGTCTTTAAGGACTTCATTTTGGGTTGATATCTTTATATTTGCAGGGTGGTATGTTTCATTATATCGAGTGAGCCTTGGTTTCAAATCAGGGCTAATTTGTTTCTTTTTGGGAATATCCCGCATGAGATCTCTCATAGGCGTGTTTACTTGCTTATCGAGGCCAGAGCTACTTTTTTGGTTAAGTGGGTCATAGATTATCGGTTGCATCGTTTGCATACTCCTTTTTGAATTTTTGTCTTTTTCTATTTCAGCGATAAGTTGTTCGATATTATCAGCCGAAAAGTCGACAATTGAGTCGTTGATAATCGTGGAGGAAGTACATGAGCGTACATTCTCATCTCTCTCTTGATCATCTACTACAGAGATGCCAGTCTTTTTCTGATACGCTGCTGGGCGGGACTCAAAGTGTTTCTTAGTAGATGTGTGAAGAAAGTTTATTCCTGGATGTGATATTCGCGCTAAAGCGCGTGAGGGCTTAGAGGTTGGAACTCGAATACTAGTCGCAGCTACGTTGGGGTTTAGTTCTGTTATGGTAACTATGAATGAGCGTAATATATTGAACGTGCAGAGGCATGGCATTGCGAGATGGCTCGTAAAAGAAGTTTCTGGGTATAAACATATACCTATGCTTTCATGAAAAAGCACGTATGAGCTGCGATGGGGTTACGCGAATTATGCTGGTGTCAAGCAAGCCTGACACATTACAGCCTTTGACCAATCATGTTTACTTATAAATAAGTCTCTTATTTATTTGACCGGCTAATGTTCGCCTATCTACTATCTCATAACAAAGTGCTCCTTGTCATGTCTACCAACTGAGTCGCCGTTTTTACGGATTAGGAACTTTTTTTGCTATTTTATTCGCACATTGCCACGTTAGCTAAATTTGTTATTAAAAAACTATAATCTATCGTTCGTGAAGACTCTCTAAAGGGGAGTCTGAAGACTTTTGGCTATCAAGGTGTGCATTCATCAACATTTACATGAGTATAGCGAGTAATTAAGTCGAGCATTATTGGATTAGGACCAGAAATCCCCTGTATCGAGTTGCATGGATACTCGACTGAGGACAAAGACCGAACACCTGTCAGTGGTGTCCTAAGAACCTGGGAGTTAAATATTCTCTCAGAGCCGAGATTCAGTCACTAAAAGGGGTTGGATGATTTATTTTTGATGGATTTTCGGCTTGAAGAAGTTGTACTTGATATTTTGGTCGAGAAATCTGCCGGCAGATATGTCACAACCATAAGAAAGTCTAACAAAAACTCTTCACCACCAACATACGATTCACCAATGGGCCTAGGTCTATCTAGGGGTCGTATCCCAAAAAATAGCATCTCTCAATCTCCTTATATATCTCCGACGAAGCATTTTTCAGTCGATCTCACACCTGCGACCCACCTCCATACTTGTTACATCGCCTATCTACATACGCCCTAATGAGGAAAGTCATCATGAAAATGTGACGTGTACAAACGAGAAAGAAAAGGGAAGATACACCGAGGGGATTACACAAATCCCCAATGACGACAACAACCCGACGGTACGATATGAAGCTGCAAGGCTAGAGCAACGATTAAATCTTGGACGGCATTTATATTTCTCAGTCAATGAAAATTTCAATGGCTCGGGCGCGTGGTGGTCGAGGCTGAGGAGGAATTTGCGTCACGGCGTATATACAGCCGTTTTATGGACGGTTGGGCTTGACATGATTCAACACATGAGTGAAGTCCGAGGTGGTCTGGTCATTTAAGTGGGTCGAGATTTATCTGTACTCTAAGGTAGTTAACCTGATCCGGCCAGGCCCCACTCGTGCTTAAGCTCCAGTAGGAATGCGATGGGTGACATGTACCCAGCACGTAAATGAACAGAACAGAAACATAGATACTCAACAATCCAGTCGAAAAACGAACACCAAAAACCTATTTAGCGAGCCCTCTATAGACCTCCGAGTAAAATAATCTCCCTGTCGTAACACAATTTTGTTATGTTTTTTCATTAAATTAGTTTTATGTCCTTGGCTGTAGCCTTCTATCTATTTACATGTATTACCAGTAGAGCTGGCCAAAATTTAATCTTTGGGCTTGCCCTGCTCGTTCACCCATTTTAGGGCTAACATATCTTGAGCTCAATGAAAATGTAATGTAGTGAGGAGAAAAAAAATAACAAAATGAATAATAATTGGCTTTGAGTCTAGATTCTTCATTCTGAGATCTCCTCCGCCAGCGTCATTGCCCTGGCATTTATCCCAAAACACGTCCTGGTGTTCAACATAGAAGTAGGATGTGCCCAGTCCACCCAAGCAGCCTGCGAGCTGTACAAAATTTTTGAACTTCTCTCACCCATTGTGTCAGAGGTGTTGCCTAGTGAAAGCGTCTAGGTTCATGTCTTCTCTAAGTATACGCGTTAGAGTATTGTATCTCCGACAGCGCGTAAAGTGGGCGGGCGTCTGTTCTATCCCACAGCTACAAACCAGGGTTGCATCTTCGTACTTGAAGCGAAGATGATACGCCGCAAAATCCCCATGCCCTGTTTGACCTGTCACATCGGAGGACGAAGGCTGAACACCTGTCAGTGGTGTCCTCTACGAACCTGGGAGTGAAATATTCTCCCAGAGCCAAGTTCAGTCGAATTTCGCAATACCGATTAAGTTGGCCCACGAGGCAATAATTCAAACTACTCCACCACGTCAAATTTTCACTCCCAACGAGTCCGAATCCTATCCAAGCCTCATCAAGTTTACAAGTACGACCTAGTACATCCTCATTACAATGATCACGCCTCTCGTAGACTTTCTCTGGCCTTAGCTGGTCGCCAGGTACACGCCCACGCCGATATTTACACCCGCAGGAGGAAGCAAAGCGTGGCGCACAAATCTGGAAGACAGTTCCTTGGGATGGATGTGAGAGGGATTAGGACAAGTTGATAAGATGATGCAGAGGATGGATACAGTCTCGACGGGCCTGTAATTTTGAATTTTGGCAAGGAGTTTTTACAAATTGAGCTTCGTGCGTGCCAAGATTTCGGTTGCGAGAGTGCAGGCGACACTATAAACACCGCCATGGTTGGATGGTGCGGTGGTACATCGTCTTGGTTGGTCTGCCAAGTAGAGTCTGGATAGCTTGGACACATATCCCACTTGAGACAGTAGATCGCTGGTTCAAATCCAGAAAAACACAACTACTTTTCTCGCGGCGCTGGTATGCATGGATGACGTAGGCATGCTTGGATAACCAAAGGTTTTGAAATTCCCTTTGGTGGGTACTAACGGAGGAGGGTCGACTGTTTGTGTAAGCAAGCATACCTCATAGTGGTATTTGCGAATGAAATCCAGAGTGTGAGTGTCTCTAACATTAAATGAGTCATCCTACATGTATACATAGCACCGGTCATGTGTCATAGCTCCATAGCTGAATACACTTAAAAGATAAAAAAAAATAAAAAAAAGACCTGTCACATCTGTATGTGTTTATTTTACAACTTGAGTCACGGACTATCTAGCTGATTGGGCTCCTCTCTGGCCCGGGCCACACCTTGCACACTGCTCTTATCCTCTCTTGTTACTTCAATGATCATTGATATATTCCCCTTGATGAATAACCATTCAGCTCAGTGTTTAGCCGCATGATTCGGTCACCTTTTACATGGAACCTTCTACCCAAAAAAATAAAAATGGTTGCAACGGAAATTGCGTGCGCGAGAGAAAGTCTCAAAAGCCTGCAGCTCCAGCCAAGCGAGGCCTAGACACCGGGACCACATGAGGTGCGCATATTCATCTATATTGTTAGCGAAACAGATCATGTCCTTGTAGATAGAACGTGGAACCTCCAGTATCGGATTACACGACTCGCTTAGTTACGAGCCGTGCACTGTCCGGACAATAGACGCGTCAGTTAGTACTCAGCGAGTAATGTAAGCGACGAGTCGTAGAGACGATCTGTCAAGTGAAGGAGTAGTCATTCTTTGATGACACAAGTCATTGACAGAGTGCTTCTCAGTTATACGAGGGAATGAGACACGTTTAGAATAGAGTAGATAATTGGAACACAGTTTGGTGGATGGGGATTTCTATAAGACCCAACTCATATCACTACTGTGGGATATCAATTCAATACTGATTCATCTACGCCTTACATTTGCTGTGCAGTGTCTCTTATCAAGTTATACAAGTGATCTGACTACGTATATTATAATATATATCTCCCTTCTTTGTAACAGTCGAGGGCGACTTGATTCAATCCACCATCTCTGTATCGGGTGCTGGGTACGCTCCGGAAACTCATCGGATAGCTTTTCCTCCATGATCAAGGGTTGGTGATGAAAAGGGTTTTGACCCTGACGTCTGATCTGATCGTGGTAACTTCATGATAATGGTGATAGGGGGATGTGTTGAGAGATGAAGACAATACGGACCGCCAAGGCGACTATGAATTGTCATCATTGTGTCATAGCTAGTTAGGCTGCATACACTTAAATGATTTAAAAAAGAAAGAATTGTCATCGAAATGAGGACTTTGTTACGCAATCTTAGCTCGGCATACTCTACAGTGAGAACTGGAGGTTCGTAGGGGACACGACTGACAGGTGTTGAGAATAGACCCCCCCATGTCCTGTTCTCGCAGTAATGAGTTCGTGAAGTAATCTCCGAGGCAACGATAGCTATAGGGCTTTACGTCGTCGCATTTGCAGGTCCAAGTCATTGTATAAAGCTGGACAAGCAGTTGACCACCATTTGTCTATCTATTCTTGTCTTCGCCTTTACATAAAACGCCGAAGATGAACAAGACTGGTATAGCAGGGTAATTATTATTACTAATTTTATTATTATTTGGTATTATTTTCATATCTCAGTCTATGAGCACGTAGGATATGCAGGTCCTCTATGTCTACAGTCAAAGAATACATATGCCATTAGTATACCCCCTCTTATGCCTCCCGTACAACTCCCCTAAAATAGTACCACCTATCACAAGTCCTCATTCGATCATTCACTTAGAGGAGCCCTTAGCCCTTCATTATATCTCCTCTCCAGCCAACGAAATGATGGCCATTTGCGAATGTATGGCAGCCGGGAAAAATCGCCAAAACCACTGGGTGCGGAGATCTCCTAATACCGAAATTAGTACTAAATCCGAAGACATAGTGACCCTTCTGATGCGTTCGAGGAGGCCGGCCAGCTGGGCGCTGCAGACTGGTGGGTACCTTGGGAAATTCACCCTCTGCTTTTCTAGCCTCCTTCCAACTCCTTCCCGAAGGTCGTGCTGAAATTTCAGAAAAGTCTTGACAGAGCGAGGTTGTTGTATAGTAGCTTGGCCCAACTTGTTTTGTACCGTCTTGGGTACTGGGGGGTACTGTAGACTCATCAACAAAAGAAGCCCTCCTTATTAATTAGCCAAAATCTTGGTCTTGGTGCCCATAAAAGTTCCAAAGCTGAAAACCCCTCGAAAATTACAGTCCTAGCATGATCTCTAGAGACCTGTTCCCCCTCTCTCTCCACATCTCAGCAGCCTGTCCTTCCTCAAGATGTATAGCCCCATTAGAGCAGCAGTCCCCCAAAAACCAAGACCCCAACTTTGTAT